CGGCGCGACGACGTCGATGCGCCCGTCGTCGTCGTCGTCGTCGTCGTTGGTGGTGGTGGACCATGCCGCGTTGAAGGCGGCGGCGGTGGTGGTGGTTTGGCCGGCATGCCCGACGGCGGCGGAGCGCGGAAGGGCGCTTGCTATCGAGGTACGGGATCGATGCAGTCGTTGGCCCCTCTTGGCTGGGCGGTACGGTTGACCTGCCGTAGACAGAGCAAAGAGGTGAGTAGGCAGCCTTGCGTCCGTCGCCTTCGCCGTCGTCGCCGGTGTCGTCGGTCGATGTTGAGATGATGATGGTGGTGGCAGAGGATGCCAGCCAGAGGCCCACACCCCAGACCAGGCCGAGCGGCGCCCTCGCTCTTGTGACCTCTGCCAGCCTTGGCATGGCAGGCCCAGGCCCAGGCCGCGCCCCGCTCCCCGCGTTCCAGCGTAGGCTAGGCCAGGTTAGGCCAGGCCAGGCCGCGCTGGGAATTCCAAAACTGACTCGAGCCCACCGCACGCATCGCGTGCATGCGTCCAGCAGGACCCCCCGCCTCTGCCTGCCTCGGCCTCGGCCCAAAAACCGGCTCATCTCTCCCTCCTCTCTCCCTCTCTCTCTTCCCGTCTCCCGCGTCTTTGGATTCTAGAACTTCCTCGGTGGGCGGGCGGGCGGGCGGGTCTTGTCCACGCCTCGTCGACCGCCCACCGCCAATCACCTGGCACCGACGGCAGCACCAACGTCCACAGACGCACGCAACGCAGCCGCCCGCTCTCGAGAGGAGCACCGGGAGATGCTCATTCCAGCCCATCGCACGCCTCAGCGCTATCCACGCTCCCGCTCGCGTCGGCCGTCGTCCCGGCCATACCGCCTCCTCGACCGCTCCCTGGCGTCGTCGTCGTCGTCCACGGCGTGCCTCGATCCACCCCGCTCGCCTTGATCCCGCCCACCCCTGCCATCGCGGCCATCGCGGTACCGCCGATCCGCCTCGTCCCTCGATCCAGGTCGCGGGCTGCGACTGCGACTGCGGCTGCGGCTGCGACGCGGCCTGGCGGCTTCGCGATTCACCTCGGCCCCGCGCCGCGCATCCGACCGTGCCTCGCGCAGTGATCGCTCCCGCGCCGCCTTCATCTCCTCGTACCGGTTCCTGCCACCCGCATCGTCGTCGTCGCTGCTGCCGCCGTCGTCGTCGTCGTTGCGCGCTGGCCTGCTGCGGCTGCGGCTGCTGTGTCGCCGTCGCTCGCTCGACCGCCTCCGCTCCCTGTCCTTGTCTTCGTCTCCATGGCGCCGGCGATGGTGGTGCCGCGACGACGACGACGACGACGACGGCCCCGCCTTGGCCGCCTTTCGCGCGGCCCTCTCTGCGCGGATCCTCGCACGCTCCTCTTTGCGGCGCATCTTTTCCTCGCGCGAGTCGCCGTCGCCGTCGCCGTCGTCGCCGCCTCGCGACTTGGCCTCGCTGCGCTTGCGGCGAAAGTAGGCCGCCATTGGGTCCTCGAGGTCGTCGTCGCCGTCGCCATCGCCGTCGCCAGCACCACGGCCGCTGCCGCTGCCCGGATCGACGAGCTGGGGCGCGGCATTCATGCTGGGCTGCTCCGGCTCGACATAGTTGCCGTCGTCGTCGCGGTGCCCCTTGTGCTTGTACTTGGCCACGTGGTCGACGCGGATGGTGCGGCCGAGGATGGATGCGCCGTTGAGGTTGTCGACGGCCAGCACCGTCGAGCGCTGGTCCTCGTACATGAGGAAGCCAAAGCCGCGGTGCTTGCCCTTGCCCTGTTGTTGTTGTTGTTGTTGTTGTCCTTGCTGCTGCTGCTGCTGCGAGCCGGGCTGGCCATCGTTGCGCTGGGAGCCTTGGCCGGGCGGCTGTGGGTTGCCGCGGGGCAGGTTGACGTCGACGACCTCGCCGTACTGGGAAAAGATGGTGACGACGTCGCCCTCGGTGAGGTCGTATGGCAGGCCGCCGACAAATATGTAGGCCGAGTCTGGCATGGGGCGAGAGAGGGGTGGGGCGACGAGGGAGGGTCAGTCGATGGCGAGGTGGGCGGATCGGATGCCAGGCGAGCGCCGCGGCTCACCCTTGTACTGTTCGTGCCAGGATGCGCTCGGATTGTTGATGGCGATGTCGAGCTCCTGCTGGTTGATGCGCTGGATCTCGCGGACGACGCTGGTGGAGGATGTCAAGGGGCAGAGCGGGTGAGGGAGGATGGGAAGGAGATCAGTGGTGGATCGCGGCGGCGCCGTGAGGAGTGGCAGCAGCGGCGATGGCGAGGGTGCACTTACTTCATGGTGGCGAGCGTCAGTCGAGGGGCAGCGCTGAGCTGTGCCAGCGGCCCAGGTCGAGGTCGAGACGGTGGTGGTGGTGGTGGTGTTGGGCAGAGGGCCGAGTGCGAGTGCGAGGCAGCAGCTGCCAAAGTGGAGGGGCGAGCGACCCCCGCCAACGGGCGTGCGTGATCGGAGCCGGCGTCGAGTCCAGGCTGGCAGAGTGGGGCCCAGGGCCATCCATCCATGCAGCCACCCCCTCTGCGTCAGGGCGAGCCAGGCCAGGCCCAGCCAGCGCGCGAACGGGCCTCCCCTGCCTCGCTCTCTCGCTCCGCCATCATCGTCAGCCAGAGTCAACCAACGGCCTCAGCCAGCCAGCCGCCACCACCACCACCACCACCACCACCGCTGCCACTCGCCACCACCGCGCTTGCACACCCCTCACCCTCGCTCGTCGGCCACGCATCGGACAACGCAACGCACCGCACCGCACCCTAGCACCGCACCACGCATCTGCCACCGCCGGTCCTCCCCCTCCTCGACCGCCACCGTCGAGATGCCGTCCGACCTGTCCTACTGGCTCATCAGCGTCCCCCTCGAGGATGGCGACCCGCACCGCATGTTTTCCGAAGTCGGAAACAAGCTCCTCAGCGACGGCGGCAGCGCCAGCAACGACTTTGGACAGCTCTCGTTTCCGCCACTCAAGGTGCGTGGGCGGGGCCCTCCTGGAGCCCTCCTGGAGCCCTCCTAGGACCTTTGGCGCGGTGCAGCGCCCGCTGCTGTCGCCCGCAAGCTGACCGCTTGTCCGTTCCCTCGTTCTCCTGTCGTCGATGCTCATCCGCCTCCTGCAGACCGGCACGCTCGAGTCCCTCATCTCGCTCTCCGAGGAGCTGCCCAAGCTCGACACGGCCCACACGCAGGTCGTGGCCAAGGTCATCGACACGCTGCGCGCGCTGCTCAACAACGACGAGGCGGCGCTGGCGCAGCACGTGCTGGTCAACGAGCAGCCCGTCGACGACTACATGCTCGGCTGGAGCTGGAACACGTCAAAGTACCGCGCCGACCGCAGCCTCCGCGACATTGTCGACGCCGTCGCAAAGGAGCTCACCTCGATCGACAACGTCATGAAGCAGAAGCTCAACACCTACAACATCGCAAAGGGCCAGCTGCAGCAGCTGCAGCGCAAAAAGACGGGCAATCTCAGCGTGCGCTCCCTCGCCGACGTCGTCCACCGCGAGGATTTCGTCGACCGCAACTCCGAGTTCCTCGAGACGCTCCTCGTCGCCGTCCCCAAGAACAGCGCAAAGGAGTGGCAGTCGAGGTACGAGCGCCTGACGCCCATGGTCGTGCCCCGCTCCTCGAGCAAGCTCGCCCAGGACGACGAGTTTGCCCTCTTCAACGTCACCGTCTTTCGCAAGGTGCGCGACGAGTTTGTCCAAAAGTGCCGCGAGAACAAGTTCATGGTGCGCGAGTTCGAGTGGGACGACCAGATCGTCGAGCGCCAGCGGCAGGAGCTCGAGGATGCCGGGACGTCGGAAAAGGAGCTCTGGGTGAGTGCCGGCCGTCGTTGGCGGCGGCGAAGGGGGCCGTGGTAGACGAGGGGTTCCTCGTCGTGCTGCTCGGCCGACCTCCATCTGACCCCCCACCATTGCACGGCTGCCCTTCCACCGCCTCGCCCCACGCCAGACCGAGCTGCTGCGCCTGTCGCGGACCAACTTTTCCGAGGCCTACCAGGCGCTGGCGCACCTCAAGGTGGTGCGGACGTTTGTCGAGAGCGTGCTGCGGTACGGCCTGCCCTCGGACTACTTTGCCATTGCCATCCGGGTGAGTGTCGGGGCGGTGCCGTCCCTCGCTCCTCGTTTATCGCTTCCGCCGACTGACCGTCACTCCATGCCTCACCTCCCTCCCTCCTTGCTCTTGGCCGACGCCTGTTTGCGGCCCGCCCCTCCCTTGGCAGCCAAATCCGAAGCGGACAAAGGCGCTGCTGGCGACGCTCAACTCGCACTACGGCTACCTCGAAGGGTACGAGGGCAGCGGGCCGGTGGCCAAGCAGCAGCAGCAGAAAAACGGCGGCAAGAAGCGCGGCGGCGGCGGCGGCGGCTCCGACCAGGTCGAGGCGCCCGGCGAGTACGCGCAGCTCCTCGACGAGGAGCACTTCCCCTTTGTCCTCATCGAGCAGATGATGGTGGCCGTCTAGCGCGGCGTGCCTCTGGTTCGGTGGGTCAGATGCGGTCGCCGTCGTCGCTGTCGTCGCCGTCGCTGCTGCACTGACAGCAACCCGCCTGCCTGCCTGCCGTTGGGGGTGTCCCATTGTTCTCTATTCCAGCACTCTCTTCCTCTGCATCCATCTATCGACGCGTCTACACATCTACTCGTCCGCGCAGCCCGCTGGCCCGCCGCGCCCGCCTCGACGACGTCTAGGGCCGGTCGTTGCGCCGGAAGAGGGCCTGCTCGTCTTGGGTGTCGGCGCTGCCGCCGTTTTGCTGGCGGATCTGGTCGCGCTTGAGGCGGAGGATGTGCGGGTTGACAAAGTAGCGCCCGAGCACCGAGGCGGGGATCGAGGCGGCGCCGCTGATCTTGCCCAGGCACTGCTGGCCGCAATTGCACGCGCAGTCGAACGGTTGCGCCATCGACCACTCGGTCGACGGGTAGACTGGCGGCCGGGGCGGCAGAGGCGGCGAGGCGGCGAGGCGACGAAGGCGACGAAGGCGGAGGCGAAAAGGGCGGAGCGGGGCGGGGCGGAGGGGAGCGGAGCGGAGCGAAACGGAGCGGGAGAGAGGGGAAGCGAGAGCGTCGAGGGGTAAGTCGGATGCGCCGCCGTCGCCGTCGCCGTCGGGCCGGACCTGGTGCACTCACAAAAGGTCAGGGTGTCGCCCTTTTTGATGTCCTTTTCGGCGACGGCCTTCCACTGCCTCTTGTCGTCGCCGGCGACGACGAAGCGGACGTTGGGGTCGCACGAGTGGTTGCAGTAGAGGAGGTCCGAGTTGAGCTCGATGTGGGCGTCCTCGGCCACCTGGACGGTCGAGTACGACGGCCGCGGCGCGGCGGTGACGTGCGGTGCAAAGGTGGTGAGCACCTCGTCGCGCTTGAGCGAGACGAGCGAGACGAGGCGCGAGTTGTACGACCCGTTGGCAAACTCGACCTGGATCAGCGACGGGTGCGTCGGCACGTGCGTCGCCGCCGCCGCCAGGCCGTCGCCCGCGCTCAGGTGGCCCGTGTAGACGCTCGTCATGGTGTCGTGTCGAGGTTGGGGGACAAGGGGGGAAGCGAGTTGTCGCGAGTCGGGGCGGATGGGTGGCAGCAGTGGTGTCGGGTGGTGGTGGTGGTGGTGGTGGTGGTTGTGGCGAGCAGCGACAAGGAGCAAGGAGCAGGCAAGGGACGGGGGCAAGGGCGGGGCCAACGGGCGGGAACAACACACGCACCAACCGACGCGGGCCTGGCCCTGTTCTTCTCGACGGCCAAGCCGCAGGCGCGAGCACAGCCCAGCAGGCCCAGGCAAGCCAGGCCCAACGAGCCGGTTCGTCCGGCCTGCGGTGCGGGCCTGGCCCACGGGCCTCAGCTGGCGCACAGACGGGGCAGCCAAGGGGGCCGTTCATGCCTCGTCGTGCCTGGCCCGGCCTGGCCTGGCAAGTTCGGGGCTCGAGGCAGGCAGGGCAAGGCGAGATGGCGGGCTCAGCACGACAGCAGAGGCAGGGCCAGGCCAGGCCAGGCAGGGCAGAAGCGCAGACGACACCGCCCCGCTTGCCCGTCCGGCCGCCGCTCAGCATGGCCCGCCAGCCAGGCGATTTCACGTGTGCCTGCCCCCCGCCTGCCTGCCCTGCCTCCCTCCACTGCGGCCACCCCATCTGCCGGGCCGGGGATCGAAGCCACGACAGCTTGCAGCACGGTGCAGCAGCGTGCATGCGACGGCGCCGTCAGGCCGCCCGCTCTCTGCCGCGCATGCCGCCAACGCCCGAAGTCGTCCGCCCTGCTGATCCCCCCAGGCGTCTGTGCGCGCGGAACCGAGGGGCTGGGGCTGGGCCACGCGACAGAGGTAGGCAGGCAGGTCGATCGTCGCTCGTCGGGTTTTCCAGATCTCGCCCGCCTGGCTGGCTGGCTGGCTGGCCGCCTGCCTGGCCCCCAAGCCTGCTTGGCCGCCGTTGAGCGCAGGTCTCTTTCAATTGGCCCACACGCGCGTCCAGCCGCCCGGCACCACTGAATTCATCGAGACGCGTCTCTGCCCCGCGCCCGCGCCCGCGCCCGCGCCCGCGCTTCTCAGCCTCGCGACCTCCCTCGCGCCTGCCGACTCTTCTCTCGTCGATCGCTCCCGGTCGCGGTCGCGGCCAGAGGGTCGGCCACCCTCGTCGACCTCGCCCAGCCATCCTGGCAGACAGCCTGCGATGGCCAAGACGTCGAGGGCAACTGCGGACAGCTCGACGGTGGGCTCGCCCAGCCACGACGCCCGTCCTGCCTGGCCCACGCACCGGATCCAGCCGGCTAGCCGACCTGACCTTGCTTGCGCTGCCCTCGCTCTCTGACGCCGTCGCAGGTCCAGAGTCCAGTCTGCCAGAGCAAGAGGGCGCAGAGACGAGCGACCAGCAACAGCAGCAGCAGCTGCCCGACGAGCGGGCAGGCAAGGCAACGACCGATCGGGACAGCCCGTCCGTCTCCTCCTGCCCCGCCCCGCCCGCCTCGCCTCGCCGCTGTCGCCTGGG